TAAAAATAGTTTATCATAAAAATATTTATGAATGTCTAAAGAAGAGAAATAAAAGCATGAAACCTTGAAAGTGAAAGATTTTCTCCATGACTCAATCTATTTATCCTAATAAGTAAAAGTTCAAATTGTTTTGAAGAACTTTAGGTTTCGGGAATCCATTGGATCTTGTGAGGTTGTCAACTTACCCAGCATCCATACTTTAGACTAAAAACATGGTACAGAAGCCTGCTCCTTACCCGCTGTTTTGCTTTCCAGTTTCAGTTACCCATGGTGAACAATAATCCAAAAATATTTAACAGAGTATTTAATATTAAATTCCAGAAATAAATAATTTGTAAGTTTCAAGATGTGTTGTTTTGTGTAGTGTGCTGAAAGCTTGTGCCACCCAGCTGCATCTGCCCAGGACGTGAATACTCTTTTGTCTAGGATATCCACAGTCTATTAATCTTTTCCACCTCCCCATTAGTCACTAGCCATTTTTGTTATCTGATCAAACAATACTGTATCTATAGGGTTAGATACTATTTGCTTTTCAGGCATCCAGTTAGGGGTCTTGGAACATATCCCTCATGGATAAGGGGAAGTACTGTACTTTTTGTCCCCCATAGATAAGGGGAACAGCTGTACCTTCAAAAGCATCAGTCTAAGTGGCAGTAATAATTCAAGTTTTACAATAGATTAAGGGAAATTGGCATTTAGTAATCCATTTGGCTGAGGTTTTCTTTTTAGTGACTATTTCAAAAGAAACCACAGCTGATTTCCACTCATTCAGGACACATTCCAATATGTACCTACTGTACTCACTCAAGTGTTTTTGAATTTCTCTACTTGTTCTCACAACATAGTTATGAGAGATTGAGACCTAATTCCATTGAAAAGTCCCATGATTCTCCAATGATTCAATGTATGTTCATAATATGATCTTGATGTCTCAATCTGAAGATAAAGCTCAGACTTGGCAATTACATGTCCACCATGAAGTAGATAAATAACCTGAGTATATTATAGGGCACAGGATGAACAGTAACAATAGCAAAATTCTTCTGACTAACTTGAACCAGAAAGATTTGGTTTAGTGAGAGAAAGGAAGAAAATAAATAATTGGTTGACTGTTTCAACTCCAAAACCAAACCAAGAAGCATTCAATTTAATTGAGTTGTTTGATATCAAGAGAAATTACACATTAAATGGAAACATATCATTGATCTCTTTTTAAAAAGTCTACCAAGAAAAAATAAAAATGATGGTATCACCAGACATTGAATAATGAAACTCAAAAATGACACTAATAAAGAATAAAGATTAGGGTGCAAGGTCATTTTTAGATATCCATATTTGTTCTAACCTTGTATAATTAAGATAGAGAGTTACTGTAACACTGGTTGAAAAATTATCTACTAATACTGAAACATAGAGTACTCAGAATACTAGCCATTTTATATACATGTATATATAATATATTATTTGAGAAATGTACAAAAGATTACTGAGAAAATGTTGGGTTTTCCCTATTTAAAAAAAGCAAATATAGTTATTATCATAAATTAAATCAAAATTAAACAAACTGAAAATATAGAAATGGAAGAGAAAATATTATAACTTTTTTCTATGAAATACAGTACACTATCTCCAGGTTTTTAAGGAAGAACTATTGTTTTCAATAAAAACAATAACATTAATTATGAAAAAGACTGATGAGTTTTAGTAAAATGAAAAATTTATATTCAAAATAAATATTAAAGAAAAGGAAATTGCTAGCCCCATAAACAAATGCATTTGTGTATTTATAATTGAAAGAGAATTAATACTCTCAGTTTTCTGAGATTCCAACAAACAAGTACCAAAACAGCCCAAAAAGGTAAATTAACACAAGGTCAAACTTCATTTTATAGATTGCAATAAATAAATGCCAATTAATTTATAAATATGCATGCTAAACTCAATTACTAATAAAATAAATGTAAAGTAACACAACAATGCTATAACATTTTGTAGCCACTCAGATGGTAAATATTAAAATGTCATATCAGAAGTTATTAGCAAGGATGTAAAACCAAAAGGAGCTATTGCTATTGGAACAAGTACTATAGGGATCTTTCTAAAGTAGATTATGCATAATGGCCCAGAAAACCCATTCCTAGTAATGACTCTGAGAAAAACTCAACAGCAAACACTTTTACTGTAAGAATATCATATCAATGCTTAAATATATGAATGACATTTTTGGCTATCATTATACTTAATTTTTACCTTAAACTATATATTTTTTTCTTACATATACATGTGTTTATTAGGTTTCCACTTTTGCCTTCACAGAATTAAAACGGCTTAAAATTTAATAACAATAACAATGCTTTAAACTATATTTTTATAATTATTTTGAGTCAAATGATTAAGTGATGTCTAACAATTAAGTTCCCAAACTCATCCTAGAGAAAGTGCTGCATACCTCCTTGCTAAGTATCACCAGTTACCTTTGAAGTACTACCCTTGGGAAGCTTTGCACCAATGCTAGCATCTAGGTCATGCTTCAAAGCAATTTTGGAATTCTTTTTCTGGAATGGTTACCAGAGCTCCATCATATTACCCCTGACATCTTAAATGTCATCAAAATATCTCCTTTCTTGGCTTGGTGCTTGTAGCTAAGTGGTTAGGGCACCAGCCACATACACTGGAGACGGCGGGTTTGAACCTGGCCTAGATCTGCTAAACAACAACAACAACAACAACAACAGCAACAAAATAGCTGGGCTTTGTGGTGGGCGCCTGTAGTCCCAGCTACTTGGGAGGCCGAGGCAAGACAATCACTGAAGCCCTAGAGTTTGAGATTGCTGTGAGCTGAGACACCATAGCACTCTACTGAGGGCAACAGAGTGAGTCATGGTCTGGAGAAAAAAAAAAATCTCCTTTCAAATATTTCTTTTATCTTTGGAAAAGAAAAAAAGTCATTGGGGGCCATATCAGGTGAGTAGGAAGAGTGTTTCCATACAATTATTTGTTTACTGGCTAAAAACTCCCTTATAGATGGTACTGTTTAAGTTGGTGCATTGTTGTGAGGCAAGAGCCTTGAGTTATCAGGTTATTTTCATCTGACTTTTTCACCCTGTCTTTTCAGCATTTCTGAATAGTAAACTTGGTTAGCTGTCCAGTTGGTACAATTTCATAATGAATAATCCCAGTGATATCAAAAAACATTAACAATATTGTTTTGACTCTTGATTTGGATTGATGGAACATTTTTGGTTGAGGGGAATTGAATAACTTTTATTTTGCACTTTAACACTTTGTTTCAGGTTTGCATTAGTACACCCATGTTTCATGACCAGTGATAACATGGTTCAAGATGTTGTCTTGCTTCCACAAAATGTCTTGGCAAACTTTGACTCTCCTTTGCTTTTGTTCATCAATGAGCTCCCTTGGAACCATTTTTGCACATGCCTTTTTCATGCCAAGAGTTTCAGTTAATATTTTCCTATTTTTCTATCACTGTTTACTTGGTCTACTTCTCATAGGTGACCATTTTGATGAACAATTCTATGAAGTTTTCATTAGGTCTGTTCCGTACTGACTACTGTGACATCTCTTCATCAATGACAATGTCTTTCTCCTCAAAAGCATTTAATCCTTGTGTACACTGCTCTTTTCTTCATGGTGTTATCCCTGTAAACTTGGACTAATTTGTTGCTGATTTCATTTCCATTCTTGCCAAATTTAACAAGACATTTAATGTTCATTGTTCTAATTCAAAATTGAACAATCTCACGATGCTCAAAGATACATAGCAACAATGAACACCTCTCAGCAACACACTGCCACACATTGACATACACACAGCTGTGAGAGGCTGAAGTGCCAAGGGTGTGAAACCTTAGAGAGCTGTTTGTACAGTGCTGCAAGTGGAGGTGCATGGTGGCAAATTCAAACATAACTGTCAGACTTTAGACATATTCAGTGATAAATTACTAACAAATATTATGTCAAATTCCTTTACCGTATTCTTGACTGTTGTCTAATAATAGGCACATTTACTTTACTATCTACTTATCAAGAAATTTGTCTATCAACTATGTACAATTAAAAAAATAAAACTACAGCAATGCTTGTGGTTCAAAGGCATAGAGCGCTGGCTCCATATGCTGGAGGTGGTGGGTTCAAACCCAGCCCCAGCCAAAAAGTACCAAAAAAAAAAAAAAAGTAAAAGAAAGAAATAAATAAAACTAAAGAAACATGTGTGCTTGCAAAACAGGAAGTTGATATATACATTTTGCCATGTATTTGTTAATATAGATGAGCCTTGGAAAGTTATAAACATACTAGGGTCTCAAAGCAGTTTACTTACTGACACGGATGCATTTGGGAGGAGGGAGCCAGCCATCCTCTGTACACGTAATTTTGGTTTGCCCATTGGGAAGACTGTAGCCAGAATCGCAACTGATTGGTACAGATTCGCCCTCTAAATACATTCTTGCATAATGTTGATTTTCCATTAATTGTCCATTTTCCAAATAATGAAAACTACATTGTCCTAAAGACCACAAAAATGAGAAAAAAATAACAGTAAATGAGAAACATAAATTTGGTCAAAACAGCAATTTAAAATTCAAATATTTAAAGAAGATTGCATAAATATACAATAATACTGTATAACTTAAGAAAAGTCAAGCTAATACCAAAAGTTTGCATAAAGAGATCATTATTCAATATGTACAGATTGTACAGATATTCTTATGAAGTCTCTATATGTATTTTTCATGAAGAGCTCTTCATAATGGAAAAGTCATGTTTTGGTCTATTCCTAGATGACTCTTCCTTAGCCTTTCTTCTGTCACATAAGACTTAATTGTAGTCAAATAGAAGCTTTTGTCTCTCCATGTTTTGGAAGTTTTACACATACATAGTTGAAAGGAGATTTACTTACTATGGCATGGTTTTGCTGGTGACCATCCTTCTTTTGTGCAATAAATGTACTCCCATCGATTTAGTGAAGGAGTCACAAAATTGGGGTCACAGTGATAGTAGAAATATTTTCCAATAGCTGCTGGAAATTGTGATCTATATCTATCCTCATCATATAGTTGTCCATGTTTTATTAGTGGAAAATCACAAGGTTTTACTTGAAATAAAAAATTAAAAAAAAAGTGTAAGTAACATTTTATCTAATGAGCAATCACATTAAAGGATGGAATTTTTGACCAATCAGTTATATTCCTCTTATTAGCATAGGTACACTCATTCCATTAAAGTTTCTAGGTCAATAAACAGTTGAGAAATGCACACAACTGAAATAGTTGAGAGGCTCGGTGCCTGTGGCTCAAGTGGCTAAGGC